TTTCTTTCTTTCTTTCTTTCTTTCTTTCTTCCTCTCTCTCTCTCTCTCTCTTTCTTTTTCTTTTTTCTTTTTGTAATTTGTTTCCATTACTCTTGTGGCTCAGATTCTCTTGTTTCTTCTTCTTTTTCTTCTGCTATGGCTGTGGAGAAAAAAATAAAATAACATTAAAAATAGCAACAGTGTTATTGTTGCTGTACTGTTAGAAAACTGTGAACTCTCAGTTTTGTAACAGGAGTTGAAAACAAAGAATATGAAAAAAAATCCTTAAATGGCTTAAACTAAAACCAAACATAGACAACGTCACAAGATGGGAAAGAAAGAATGGAGGAAAAATAGGTTTAAAATGCTAGGAAGTCTTGGAGAAAGGAGAAACAAAGGATTGTTTGTTTTACAGTCTGACTTTTAATTGATTAATTAATTTTATTTATGTGGGATTATTTTTAATTGTTCATGGTTTTTGGTTTTATTTGTGAGCTGCCCAGAGTCACCCGTTGGGGGAGATGGGTGACATACAAATTTAATAAATAAATAAATAAATAAATAAATAAATAAATAAATAAATAAATAAATAAATAAATAAATAAATAAATAAATAAATAAATAAATAAATAAATAAATAAATAAATAAATAAATAAATAAATAACAATGATTAAACACAGATTATGAGGAAAGATATTGGTGCACAATTGTAGAATTTTTAAGAAGTTTTTTAAAAGGCTGTGTTTCATCCATTAATAGTAAAGATTTGGTTTTGCAGTTTTGCACAATACCGTATTCCAATACGATGATTCAGCAACAGAGAGCCTAACTCTCACATCTACCTTCAAAAACAATACAGTTTTGAATTTCAATATGAACAGGGACATTCATGGGAGGCAGGGGAGAGGAGCAAAATGTCAAGATGCCAAGCACAACCATGTGATCAAACCCTTGCCCAAACTGCTGTTTCTTTACCTTTCTCCTTTTTTTTTTTTCCTGTAAACAAAAAGCTTCCCAAGATGGTGCTCCTTAATTCAAGTACATTGGAGTGGAACTATTTTTCAAAAAACAGCACTTTCTCTAAAATGTTGGCGGACATTCTAAGACATTAGCATCGTCTTGCATACACTTTGTCACCAAGAAGAAAGGTGGGAACCCTCTGTATCTTTGGCCTTTGATAAGTAGTGACTGGCGGAGGACAAGTAATAGGAAAAACAGGGACCGGAGCAATAACAGACTATCAGCTGAGGTGGTAATGAATTTAAAGCTGCCTGCTGGAACATAAAAAACCCAGTGCAAGAGAACGAGTGTTCTGCCATTTCTACACAGCTACTGGGAATCTGAGCTGTCTCTACCATGCTCAAGCACTTACAGCAACCATGCAAGTGGATGCACAGAAAAAGCCTATAATGTGTGAGGAGCACTGAACAATGTGGCATCCAGAAGTGGCCTTGGGATTCATTTTGCCTTTTGATTTTTTTTTCCTCAGTTAGATGTTGCTAGCTTACAGAGGAAGTTTTGATTATCCACATTTTGTTGCTTTCAACATGAATATATGTTAGCAAGAGATTCCTCTTCCTTACAGAAAGACTAGCTGCTCTTGACAGCAGTCCTGGGACAGGCAAGTAAAAGGGAAGCCCACTGTGGTCCCATCATAGATCAGGGATGCTATTGTACGCTACACTGAAGATCATTTAATCAAAAAGCAGTAACCAGCTTACTTATTCACTGCATATTCCCTCTCCCCTCACCCTGATCTCCTTGGTCATCTTTAGCTGCCTCTTCTTCTTCCTCTATATCTTTAGGTGAAGAAGCTGTTTCAGTGGGCTCTCCTGCTTCTGCAGCAATTTCAGCACTTTCAGAAGGTGCTTCAGCAATATTCTCAGCAGCTGAAATGAAGGTGTGTAGAATGGAAGGAAAAATTGAGAAAACAAGTAATTACTGCCATACCTATTTCCATGCCATTTCTTTTAATTAATTACTGGGGTGAAATCCTCCTTTTAAACAGATGTCAAAAGCCTTAACGTAGTACAAATACGATAATACAGTACATTCTTAGCCATGTGAACTCAGAAGTAAATTCTACTGAATTCAACGGGGCTCTCTTCTATGACCATAGGCAAAGCTTCTATTCTTAAAATGAAGAATCTTCAAGTGGATTACGCTCCACTTCTAATCAAAGCGGAGCACAATCCTAACTCTTGAGGTGCTTTTCCTTTCCTTTTTTTCTGATGCTAACTAGTGGATTAAAAAACTCCCAAGTAAAGCCAAATGGTAAGGAAATCCATTATGGCCAGTATAGCTGATGATCCCAATATTGGGACCTCAGGTTAACAAATGGATTCAAAATTCAGTAGCTACAAATCTGCTTCCGTCCCACCTTGACATGTTCCATTTCTGGACCTCTGGTAGGGAGATTACTATTGAATTTAAGCCCATGATATTTTCTGCAGAGATAACTGGAACGTCCACTCACATACCAGTATTCAAAAATCCCAGAGTAGTAGTTGTAAACTTCAATTTGGGGATTTATTAGAATTATTTTTCCTTTAAATGACTTCATAAGATTTCCTAACTGCCCCAACTGGACAAGCTGAAGGCTGAAGTCACAGAAAGAAATAATACCATATCAGGCAGCACGTGAATATACTATGCAAGATAACCCTTGTGAACCAGAGTAGGGCTTATGAATCTGATACCACCTTTCCCAAGGCTGATACATATGTAACACATGGTCCAAATGTTGTCCTGAGAGTTTTTGATGAGGAGAAAACTTTAGAGGCAGGAGAGAAGCTTAATGGGCACTACCATAAAAAGCTGTCGTTCTATCAAATGTATTTAATAGAAATTCAGTTGAAGAAAGTGAAGAATATGATCACTACCAAAAGTAAATCTTCCCAACACCTCCTCTTCAATCTCACCTCTTTTTTAAATACCTGTTCTCTCTCTCCTAAGGCAGGCCAAAGGAGACAGATGTGCCTTTCTAGATAGTTAGATTGTTTGTAAAAGGATTTTGTACATGATCAGAGGGCCACTTGAAATTAAGTTCAGAGATGCACAAGAGAAGCTTAAAGAGGACCACACATTCCCTAAACCTAGGATAGAACATTGCTACCTGAATGCTTTTTCTAGGCCTAACAGTAGTTGAATATTATTTATTTTACTGAACATATTTTTATATTGCTTCTCAGTTGTATCTCAAATGGCTGACAATAGAAATTCCTAACATACAGTAAGAAAAACAACTGATTAAAACAATGCAAAAAATTAATAGAAAACGTTAGTCCTGTTTTTCCTTCTCCCACCTGCCATCAAAATTCATAAAGGGAAGACCTAGCTGAAGTGAGAGATCTTAAAAAGATGTAATTTCAGGGAGAGAACACTCTAAATTCAGGCATCACCATAGAGAAGATCCATATGTAAATACAAGATAGCATCTATCAATCCTGCCACATGCAGCAGAACCTCTTCTGATCCTCTTAGCAATCAAATACAGGTAGCCCCCAGTTTAAGAACAAGTTCCGTTCCCAAGGTCAGTCCTTAAGTCAAATTTGTAAGCAAGCCAAAACAGTATTATTTTATAATACTGTAGAAGTAGCATTGTGTAATGAATTCAAACATTGTGTATTTAACTTGAATGATTGTGTATTTAACTGGAATTTTGTTACAACAAGCTCCATTCTTAACTATGGGTCATCTGTAACCCAGGCATTCTTAACCTGGAGACTACTTGTAGTTCTATAAAGGGGAAAGGAGTCAGTCTGGCACCCTGATCCTCAACTGTTTAGTGTCTTCTATGTTACAATTAAAACCTTGAATTTGGTTTGGTGGTTAACTATTAAGAGAGCCAGTTTGGTCCAGTGGTTAAGCTACCAGGCCAGAAACCACCTGGTTTCTGTGAGTTCCAGTCCCACCTTCGGCATGAAAGCCAGATGGGGAACTTTGAGCCAGTCACTCTCTCTCAGCAAAACTCACCTCATGGGGTTGTTGTTGTGGGGAAACAGGAGTAGGAAGGAGTACTAGGTATGTTTCACCACCTTGGGTTATTTATAAAAAATAATAAAGGTGGGATAAAAAAATCTAAAAAAAAAAAAAACTACTTGCTTTGGTGGTTGACTACCAGTACAGTTGCTTCAACAGAGCTATAATATGCATGGCCAAATATCCCCCTCAACAACTTTGCTACCACATTCTGCACACCAGTGGCAGCTTCCAGACCAAGTGCAACGTTAACTTCACAGATCACATTACAATTGTCTATATATAAGGTGAACAGTGTCTGAACAACTGTAGCTAGGCTGTCCCCATCTAGAAAAAGGTATTATAATTGGTCTGCCAGCAAAAACTGGCAACTACCACTTCTGACCATAAAGATTTCTAGCAATACAATTACAGTGGTGATTCTAGGAGCTCTCCCAAACAATGTATCTTATAAATAAAACTATACCATCATATTTAAAACAAAAACTAAAGCAAACAAAATCCTAAAATCCCATTTAGAACAGGCAGAATATACAATTCTTATCCAGGGTGTCATCAACCACAATGATTTCATCTTTTACATATACTTGCCCTCATCACTGCATGAAGATACTAGTTTAGAATATTCACAGCTTGTATATCTCCATGTCCATCCAAAAGGTACAGACAAGATATTATTGATTGGGCTTGAAGTGAAAATTCAACTCATTAATGAGACCATCAATCTCTGGATTTCTCCCTCTGCATATCTTATTATACCCAACACAGTATTCTAGAGTGGTGGTCATATGTCCTAAGTTAGTGATTTACTGGGAAAATTTTACACAATCTAAGATTATAAAATATATATGTAAATTTACTATGGTAGTATATTGCAAAACTTTGATCTAAGTTGGCACCCAGTGAAATGAATGCAGATTCATGGATGCATGAAAGGTTGCTCTAAAGTCAAAATACAAACCTGCAGCAACTTCTGGTTCAGCTGATGGACCCTCTACTGTTGCTGCAGGAGTTGCTTCTGGAGGAGGTGGTTCTTCAGGTGTCCAGAGTGTTAGATTAGTAATTTTTGTTGCTTTCCATTTTGGAATGGATGGTACCAAAGTTTCTTCTTCCTCCTCTTCTTCTGGTTTCTCCTAGAGAAAGATGAATATTCAGGACAATAATAGAATGAAAAAGGAAATGGGCAGTCTATTTGTGGTAAAAGCTTTTCTGCAGAATTTATGAAGACCCATACACAACATGCTTCACGCTCCTTAGCCTCTTTCAACAATACACATGGCCAGATATTTCTGCAAGTCTGGATTGCTAAAATATGTTCTTTGTGGGGTGCCCTTTAAAATTGTCTGAAAACCTCAGCAATGTTGCAGCCTAGTTATTGGGAAAGATCAAAGGTAAGATACATATGACTATTAGTTACAAAGGTTACACTAGCTGCTGGCCAATTTTTGGTCACAATGCAAAGTATAGAACAAAAAAAAAAAAGTCCTAAGCAGCTTTGGACCTTGCTACTAGAAGGAGCATCCTCCTTCCTGCTTCATTGTTGAGAGTCTTCAAAGGGAGTATTTTCACCACCAATTTCTCATGTGTTTGACACAAAACTATTCTCAGAGGCTGCATTTAAATATTAGAGCTATCTGCTGTAAGAGATTTGTCTAACCCCATATTTATGGTCTTCTATTTAGTGATAAATCTTGTTTTGATTAAACAGGCATCTGGCTTACTGGATTGAAATATTTGTTTTATTCTGCTAATTATGTTAACACTAATTAACTAGCTGCCATTTTCTTATCTGCACTAACTTGACATAGCTTCTTTGGCTTCAATATCCCTCAAATGATGCTGAAAGAATCCAGCCCCTCTTCTGGAAATATTCACCCAGAAGCCCTGTAGTAGGTGCTTCAGCAACAACAACAACAACAAAAAAGTAGTGATGGCATTTTGTTATACTTTTCACGGTTGAATAATATTTTCCCCAGAAACAGCTAGCTGCATGGCCAACTAAAGAAGGAGTGCAACTGACAAAACATGTGTTGTGACACAAACTGTATCCCTTAAATATGTAAGTGCTGCTAGATATATTTGCCATGCAGCATTTCATAAAATTTCTTTTAAGAAACCTACTGGATGTCCCATCAGCCACTGACTTGTCTTTCTATACAACAAAGTCCCACCTCTGTTGTACTGTCCCTAAAATCCCCCATAATCCATCACTGTGTTTCACTCAACCATCTGGAAACCCTGGGACGTATTGCAAAAGTAGTCTATTATAAATAAAACTATACCATCATATTTAAAACAAAAGCAAAAGCAAAAGCAAAAGCAAACAAAAGATTGCTAAAATAACTGGTTAGGACTGGCAGGTGGGGGTGGGGATATAATGCCAAAATTATTCCAAAGGAATTTCTTCCTGTCACATGCAAGCAAATCATGCAGAATCATTCTATTTCAAAGCCAAAAGGCACCTCTTTGGTAAAGATTTCAGTGGCTAATTTTTTCTCATAATTCTGAGCAAGTCATTTCTTTTTTACTCCTTCTCTTTCCTTGGTTCGTATGAGCTAAGCAAATTACAGAAAGAGTCAACATGAAATATTATTTTATTATACAAAAGTTTAAAAGTTCAAGGAGAAAAGTTTATACTCAGGGGAAAGGCAGATTTGTTAAAAGAACACAGATGGTATTCGTGAAATAAACTTAACTGCTACACAACATTTACAAAAGGATAAATGCATAAAAATCATGCGTGTCTGAAAACTGTGTATGCTTGTTTTACATATTTTGTTATATGTTATGTCAGTGGCTAATAGCTTCTCATTACTTTGAACATAAGGCAGTTCTTTGCCATCTGTTCCACAAAATAACTTTTTGTGTGGATATTTACAGCAAATATTGAATGCCACAACTTGTTCATATTTGCATGCTGAGAAGTCACAGGTAAATAATATTTAAATGAAAGACAGTCTAGAGAGTAAGAACCAGAAATCTAATATATTTTGAGCTCAAAGGTTCATTTTTGAACTGAGGTCATTTAAAAATGTTTGGAGAAGATATAGCTTAAGAAGAAATCCATTTTTATATAATAACTTTATTAAATTTTGAGAAAAAACAATAAAAACTAACTAAGAAAAAGAAGAAGAAAGGGAAACTTGAAAAGAGAGAAAATAGTAAAGATTAAAAGTGCAAAAAGAAAAAAGAAAGAAAAAGAAAGAATTGACTTCCAACCCTTCTCATAACAGATGTAAATTACAATATACATTCAACTCTTACTCTAAGTTTAAAAAATGACTTCCATTATTTCTATTAATCCATATTATTTCTAATCATCAAATCTATACAACAAAACTTCATTTTTTTCAGTGACAAAAAGTCCAAAAAGGGTTTCCAGATAGTCTTAAAATTACACAATATCTTATCACGAATCAATGCGGTCAATTTGCCATCTCTGCTAACTCAGAGATGACATCAACTTCACAAACCATTCTTCCACCTTAGGTAATATCTTGTCTTTCCATCTCTGTGCATATAAAAGTCTTGCTGCTGTTATCATATAGCTTAAGAAGAAATCCTGACCTAAGAATGCACTTTGGTCTTGGAAATGGAAATGTGTACATGAACAACTGTTAAACCACATTTCAGCAAAATTCATGCATACCTACTTCACATTAACTTCTAAGAACCTTAAGGTTTTTAATTTTGATTGGATTGTGCTATACAGTACTAATTGAAAAAATATAAGTCATCTTACACAGAGATCCAAATATTATATTTATAATTTCTGTATGGAATCAAGACACTAAGGAGGAATAGGAGGAGGAAGAAGAGGAGGAGGAATGAAAACTCTGATTTCAATTCCTTTTCACATTCAGGAGCCTTATATTCACTAAGGAGAGGATTGCCTTTTTTGTATACAGAGTATAAGATGGCAATCTATTTTCAGTGGCTGCACAAAATTGTAAAACTGTTACTTTTGATTTGGGCAACCTACTGATGACCCACGGTGACAACAGGAAAGGTCTTAAAGTCTTGCTTTAATTAATTATAATTTAATTATAATTAATGCAACCACTAGGGGAGTCCATTGACCTTGCAAAGTCAGGGGAAAGTGGATATTGTACAGAACCCTTTTCCACCAGGTTTGACCAAGGTCAGCATAGATTCAAGGCAAGTATTGCTTCAAAAGATGAAAAAAAGATGGAAAACCAAAATCACTTTCTCTTCTAGAGAACGCAAGCCAGATTGTTGAAATGATTTTAGCATTGTTAGTTGTCAAAAATGTTGACCTTATTGTTTTAATAACTACATATAAATTAAAATATACAGTTTGTTGTAACAGTTATTATACTCTTTAACTGTAAGACAGAATTAAATAAATAAAGTTAAAATAAAGTATAATTCTGGGCTTCCTGGTTGTTAGCATGATTTAATACAATAGTACTTACTTCATGATGATATTCACCATGCTGCTCACATCCAATATCAAAAATATACTTCCCAGGACCTAATGGCTATATAAACAAAGAAACATTTATTTATTTATTTATTTATTTATTTAATTAATTAATTCATTTATCTCCCCCCCTCCCCCCCTAATGGGGGACTCTGGGAGGCTCACAAAATCCATTAAAACAATAAATATATAAAACATAAAAACTATACAAAACATTATCAAACAAGAAAAAGTCCAAGAGGCTGATGGTTACCAGAGCTGCAGACGACAGGCCTCTAAGGGGCTAGCCATCCCCACACTTGGTGACTTCCCTCCCCATCCCAGGCAGAGCCAGGTCTTCAGATCTCTCCAGAAGGCCAGGAGTGAAGGAGCTAATCTCACCTCCAGGGGTAAGATATTCCAAAGGGGGGGGGGCTACAGCAGAGAAGGCCTGCCATCTGGACCCCGCTAACTGGAGCTCTTTTACCAAGGGGGTCCGAAGCATGCCCTCCCTGTGTGATCGGGTGGGATGGGATGAAGTCATGGGGAAGAGATAGTCCCTTAGGTAACCTGGTCCCATGCCATGTAGGGCTTTAAAGGTGATAACGAACACCTTGAATTGGACCCAGAAGCAAACTGGAACCCAGTGCAGTTCGCGGAGCAATGGTGTTACATGGGTCCTTCTTGGGGCACCAAAAATAGCCCGTGTGGCTGCATTCTGGACCAGCTGTAGCTTCCGGATACTCCTCAAGGGTAGCCCCATGTAAAGCACATTGCAGTTGTCTATATGGGAGATAACAAGAGCATGAGTGACCATTAGAAGGGCAACCCGATCCAGGAAAGGGATGCCTTTCCTTGTTGTTTAGTCGTTAAGTCGTGTCCGACTCTTCGTGACCCCATGAACCATATTGCG